TCTTTTAAAAAATTCACTTGAAATTTTTTTTTTTTTTTTTTTTTATTTTGATACTTAGGTTCTCAATATAATTTTTATTTCAGTTTTTTTTTCAGTGTTTGTAGGATTGGTTTATTTTCTAATTTTAATCTAAAATTAATTTCAATTTGTTCTTACGATTCAATAATTTAACTTCTAGATAAAGATAATTTAAGACTAGATAAAATATGGCAATTTGGCAAAATAAAAAATGGCAACGAGGTAAATGGTAAAATATATTGTTGCAGTGTATTAAAACACTTTCTTTTTTGAGAAAATTTTTCAACAAGAGTTGTGCAAAATGTTCCTTTATTATTCTTCTCCTGTACTTAGATTTATACAACATGGATTATACAACAAGATTTTTTATTTGTTATACATTTTTATTGATTATACATGGATTATACAAGATTATTGATTATACATGGATTATACAGATTTTTTTACAATAAATTCAAGGTTCATTTTTATGTCCTTAAATGTATATATTCAGTATTCACTATTCATACAAGATTTATACAACATAGATTATACAACAACACTTTTAAAATAGAGAAATTTTGATGTTTTGCTGTTGTTCATATTGGGAAAAATGAGGTTTGCAATAGTTTGTTGACCTGTTAGAGGTCGGCATCAGGTTAGCAAATAAGTTTGATACAAAGGTTATACCATAAAACATAGAAACAGGGTTGGCAATTTTTTGCTGATCTTATACATTTCTAGTTCAGCATTGCCAAATGCTAACTCTAATTCCAAGAGCTATCTTTCTTTAGCATTGATGCTACACAATCAACATGCATGGCTAAATTTATTAACGACTCTCCAGATAAATATGCCAATTGTCAACCCAAGACATGCGTTGTAAATGGAATACCCCATCTTTTGCTATATGCAAAAAAGGATATTGCTAAAGACTCAGAACTTAGATATAACTATGGGGACAGTTCTAATCAGCAATGGAGGAAATTGGTAAATTTATTTACTTGCTTTTTTTTTTCTTTTCAATATTTTTATATAAAGTAATTTGTTTATGAAGTGATAAATTAAATATTTTAGAAATTAATAGTTTTGTAAAGTATTATTGCAATTTTAAATTTAAAAAAAATTCTAGGCAAAGTATTAGGAACCATTTACTATGAGTGAAGTTAAGGCATATCTACGAGGACAGGTAACTGTTCAATTCTACTAGAAACATTGTAATCTTTTTAAATTTAAGTTTTCTTTTTTAAATTTAAGTTTGTTCCTGATATGGAAGGTTTTAAAATTCTACATAGAAGGATATATGTGTTTGATTTTCAGAAAATATTTTATTTACATTATATTTCTTTTTAAATTTTTGTATTAAAGCCTTTGCAGAAAAATCGAATTCTAACAGCATCAATGGCAAGTTTTTTTCTTTATATACAATTTTTGCTTCCAGTTTTATGAAATTACACTGAGAGTTAACACACAAAATTTGCTATTAACAGTGATCTATTCCTATCATCTGGTTTTTTATCACAAAACTTATACTGAAAATCCTTTGAACAAAATTTGCCAAAGATAAACTAAAAAATGAAGTAAAAATGCTAAATTTTATCTTTAAAATGTTTTAAGATGATCTAAAAGCTGTTTTTGAAATAAATAAAGCTAAAGATTTTTTTCGTCAATAAAATAGATTTTTCATATAAAATAGTTTTATTTTATTTAAGTGATATAATTGTTCAAAATTAAATTAGTTTTGATCAAGCTTAATCAAGTTTTTTATCTTTACCAAAAAATTTTCGATAAAGCCCAAAGCACTTCAGTTGATTTTAATATAATTTTGCTTATTTAAACTTTGATTGACTTATCTAGACTTAGTTTTGCTTATCCTTACTTTAATCCATTAAAAAAAAAAAAAAAATACAACTAACAAAAATTATAAATGTAAAAAATAGAGCACCAATCTGCATGTCATAAATGAATGTCATCCAGTGTGCATCCAGCAATTACTTTATCAAAAATGTTAAATGAAAGTTCTATATATTTGTTTCATATAAAACAAATCAGAATAAATAAAAATCAATGTGATAAAATTATGAAAAAATTATTGATGCACTGTTTATATCAATTTTTGTGGGAAGTGTATTCTATAATAATTTTCAGATATTTATACAAATTATATGATAATTTACTGTAGTTAATAGAAAATGATTAAATTATAATTATACAAGTAAGAATTATATTTAATTTTCAAATTAATATGTGTTATTTAAATACTGTTTTATTTTTAGTTGTTTTCATCATTTAATAATGAAAAGTCTGAGTTGAAAAAGGTTTGGTTTATTTGTATTTAAAGAAATTATTTTTTTATTCTTTGTTGCTTTAAAAGTTTATAAATATTTTATTTACTATTTATGTTTTTTCTTAGGTTTAGTTCATTTTTTCAGATGTAATTAAAATGATTGTTGGAACTTGGTATATTTCCACTCTGTAGATAAATTATAGAGTCACTCAAACTAGATCTAAGACCAGGTAAATAAAAAAAAGCAATTGTTTTTTCTTAGTAATTGGTCAGCTTTATGTGAATAAATATTTTAGCAATTTTGCTCATACTTTTATTCACATAACGCAGAACCGTTTATAGTGTAAATTGCTTAGCTTTACGTGAAAAAAATTTTAGCAAATTTGCTAAATTTTTTTTTCTTGTAGAGATAAACAGTAACTTGATTATTGACATATTTTGTATATTTTTATATTTTGTATCTTTTAAAGCTCTTATTTTTCTAATTGAATTTTAATGTTTTTATTTTATCCAATGTTTCGAAACAAAAGTTATTTACTTGGGATATGATTTAATTTGTTTTAAGTTTTTAATATTTTAATACTAACCTTAGCTAAGTATTTTGTTAAATTTATATTTTGTTAATTTTTATTAAGTTTTTTTGACTTTTAGGATTTAAATCAAATCTAATCAAATGAAAATCAATAATTTCAAAAAATGATAAGGAAATATTTATAATGAATAATAAATCTAATGTTCTGTTTAATAAATTTAAATGTTGAGTTAATAGGTTATTTAATGAATAATAATATTCAAAAAATTTTAAAATTCCTATATAAATTCTAGTAAGGAAGATTTACCTGAAAAAAGTAATAAAGATACCATTTCAGGAGGCTTATCACAAGCATTGTAAGTTAACTGTTTTTTTGGTTATATGTTTTTTTTTAACTTTTTACCTTGATTAGTGCATATCAATTAAGTGTTTTTAATTTTGGTTTGTAGTGGTTTTGAGAAGTGTACTGAGTTAAAAGAACAATATAATCAAGCATTAAAGTATCGAATAACCATATTATAATTAGTTTTGTAAACTTTTTAACAAAAACAAATATTTGTGTATTTATTTAATATTTCTGTTTATAGTAAGTCCTATTTAAGTTTCAGCAATGAAGATATATTAATACCAGATGAAACATTTTTAAAAAACTCATCTCAGATATAGTAAGTTGTTTAGTTTTTGTACAATTAATTTGGATTTAAAATTAAAAAATGATTCATTCTTAACTTTGTCCAGATTTGTGCTTGTTAATTAAATGTTTTTAAATTTTGGTTTGTAGTAGTTTAGAAAAAAGTGCTTGTGAAGATAACTCTAAAAATTTGTATTCAAATTCAGTTAACAGGTTAGAGTTGTTTTGATCACAAAAGCAAAGTTGAATTTTTTTATTTGTTTTTTCCAAATTATTAAATTTAAACTTTAAACTTAATTTTTAGTAAAAAAGTTTCACCTCGAATGATAGTTGCTGCCAGATGCTTGACAGATATATCAAAAAGAAAGTAAGTTAAGGTTTCTATTCTAGTAACACTTTTCCAGTTTATTTAGTTTTTCTTTGTAAGTTGATGCTTCTTGTTTTTTAAAACAAATACCATTTTGAAAAACGTTTTAAATTTAAAAGTAGATTGATGTCAAGAATAAATCTTTTTTAAAATTGAAATACTTCTTTTTATGATGGTTTATAGCGATTCTGAAAGCAATAATTTGACAAATGCTAATGAAACTCCACTTATAACGTAAGTTTATTGTTTAGTTATATTTTTTGATAAAGAAAATAAAAGCAACAGAAATATGATTGTTGACAAACTGATTTTTATTTTATGAACAATAAAACATGGATAATGCTGGTTTTCTAAATAAATTTTTTGTAAAGATTTTATATTCATACTTAAAAATTTTAATATTTTTAAATATAGTAATAATTAAAAAATTCTTTTTTAAATGTTTGGTTTGTAGATGCTTAGAACAGAGCGCTGATGTTTGTAATTCAAATAATAAATTATTAAAGTATGTAACTTTGCTTGTAATCTTTTAAATTCAAGTTTTTTCAATTTAAAAATTTTTCAGAAATTTATACCTGATTGATTGTGGTTTATCGTTTTTTCGTATTTTGTTTATAGTGGGTTAGAAAAGAGCACTGTGATTGATTGGGCATGTAGCCAACATTTAATGTAAGAATGCTGCTTTTCTCTTTCAAATAACATAATAATTAAAAATTATGTTTTCTTTATTAAATTTTAATTATTAATATGAGATATGCACTAATTCCTGTAAGATATTTAGCTTTGAAGACTCAACAAAAAAGAATAATGAAGATACAATATTAGCAGATATATTTCGCATAAAGTAAGTTTAAAAAATGTTAAATACAACAAAGCAAAAGTAACTTAACTAAACTGATTAAATGTTGTGTATACTTATTATGTTTTTTTTTACTTGATTTGTAGTGCTTTAGAGCAGTGCACTAAGTTTGATGGACAAAGTAGTCTTAAAGTATTAAAGTATGATTCACAAAATAGCTTAATTATTTCCTAATATTTTAATAATTAATATTTTAATATAATAATAATTAATTATTAATATGTATTAAATATTTCTGTTTACATTTTTTTTAAATTTCAGCAACGAAAACAATAAAATACAATGTAATAGAGAAACACTTACCGATTCATCACAAATATAGTAAGTTGTTTATTTTTTACTATCTCTGTTAATTTGATTTAATATAAAATATGACATTTTGTCATTAAACTTTATGCCCTGGTTTATGCATATTAGTTAAAAGTTGTTAATTTTGTTTTGTAGTGGTTTAATTAAAAGTACTTGTGAAAATAGTGCTAAAAGTTTGTTTTTAAAGTAAGTTTATAGATAGTGGGTAGTTTACTGCTTAGTTTTATTTTTATTCAAAGTTATTGGTTATTAAACAGAAATAAAGAAGTTTTTAAACTATTTTCAATTCTGAGTCAAAATTTTCAATAATTTTACTTAATTTTATATTAGATTTGAAAATAAGAAAGTTTGTCCTTTTTGTCATGAGTCAAAAGTAAAATTAACAGATCACGTAAACCGAGTACATAAACGTCCAATTGAAATTAGCAAAAGTGTTGTTGGTTTATATAACTTGAGTCAGGTGTGTGAAAAAAAAAGGGAACTAAATTAAAATGTAAAAATTACCATACAAAAAAAATGTGCCCTATACCAAATTGTTTCAAAATGACAAAAAATGTTGGAGAACACTTAAAAGGTAAAATGCATAATTTAAAACCTGGCCCTGAATATTATATGCTTCTAAAAAGTGCTAAGAGTTACAAATTACAAGATCCTTCTGAGTCGCCAAGTAAAATTAAAGAAAAATACAAATCATTTTCTTCTGCAACTATATCAACTGTTACAAAAGATCAGCTACAATTGGACTTTAATATTCAAACTCAAATAGCTACTGATCCATTTGAAAAAGAAGAATTAATAAAGTCTGACTCAAAAGAAGAAGAATTAAGAAAGTCTGATCAAGTTTTAAGCAGCCATTTATCTACTGAATCTACTGAACCATCAGTTGTTGGTTTTGTTACTTTTAATAATAAAAATGAAATTGGTGATATTCAAAGTGATGCTTTTGATGAAGATGATAATAATGATGATGATGATGATTATATACCCCCTGAGCAAGAAAGTGATGAAGAAACATTCAAAAAACTTTCTCCATCTATTAAAGATATGTTAAACGATTTTTATCATTAACTTACAGAACCTGATAGAGCTAGAAAAAGTAAATCTATTGAAAGGGTTAAAAATGGCGTTAAAAGGATTTTTTTGGCTGTTGGTTTAACAAATTCAATAAAATTATTGTTTGAAAATGACACAGATGTGATAAGAAAAAACTATCTTCAAGTATATTGTGTAAACAGAAAGTTAGAAGCTGGTTCAATTTAAACATACTTAAACTCTTTAAAAGATTTTTGCTCATATCTTATAAAATCAAAGTATCGTGAATTTGACCTATCTTTTGAAACTGTATTTCAAACTATTTTAAATATTGAAAATTGGAGAAAAAATTACCATGCTAAAGACAGTATAAGAAAACATAAAAGAGCTGAAGATGACCTTTTAATGCTTGTTACCCCTGAACAGGAAAAGAAATATGAGCAGAGCAAAAATGCATCAACTGCAAAAAAATTACTTGAGGATTTGAAAAAAAATCCAAATAAAGAATTAACTATGTTTGATTATTGTTGTTATAGGGACCATGTCTTTTTTATTATACACTTTGCCAGTGCCCATTGATCTGGTGTAACAGCAAATATGACTACGGAAGAATTTTTTAAAATGAAAGTTTTTAAAGATGGCATGAAGATGATAAATGTATGAGATCATAAAACTGTTTCAACTTATGGTCCAGCAAGAGTGACTTTAAATTCTATTGAATTTGAATGGATTGAAGTTTTTGTGAATCATGTTAGAACAAAATTACCTGCTATTCATTCAGATAAAGTATTTTTATCATTGTCTGGGAAAGAAATGTTTTCTGGGGATATAAGTGGAAGATTACATTCGCTTTGGGTGAAAGCTGGTAATTTTGATGGGCACTTTGTACCCAAAAAGCTCTCTGCTAACATTGTCAGAAAAATAACTTCACATTAGTTCGTAATAGCGAGTTTTATAAAGATAGAGGTGTTGTGGCTGACTCAATGATGCACAGTGAACTAACTGCTGCCACTCATTATCATACCAGAAGTCAAGAGCTTAATGCAATTACTGGTGGCAATATTGTGCGCAAAAATTTTTGTTGTTCCCCACTAACTAAAACAGACAAGTTGATAAAAGTAGTTTAACTGAAAAAATAAAGGAAAAAAATGATCAGCTTCTTACGTCAGAGAACCTCTTAAGTAAAAATGGTTTTAGTTTTTCTTTGATGAATACTCCTAAAAAAATCTGGAGTAAGGAAGAAACAAGTTCTTTAAATTTATTATTTCCTGATAATAAATCTCAAAATATATTGTATAACCAAGTAAAATCAATGCTTGCCAAATCTCCTTCAATTAACTGTTCACCTAGACAAGTTCATGACAAGCTGAAAAGAATTAAAAGAAAATATCTGGAAGATATGCCAGAAGAATCAAAGGTTTTTTTCTTTTAATTTTTATTGGTTCGATTTTAAGTCTTTTTTTCTTTTTTTTTTCTTCTTAATTTTGCTTCGTAACTTTTCAAAATAATATAATCTTATATATTGTTTAAATTTAATTTTTTTTCATACTAGGTTAAGAAATTTGCAGTTTGAACACAAAACTTGGTCTTCTGAACAGATAAATGAGTTAAAAGTTAATGGAAAAGAATTAATTTTGGGAGGACCTTTATCACGAAGCCGAATTTTAAGTGTTCTAAAAAACTCTAAATTATTAAAAGATTTCACCATCACACAGTTGAGAACACGAATTAATCATAAACGAAATTAAACTTAGCTGTTTCTTGACTATAACTTATAAATAAACAGTTATTATTTTTTAATTTCTAAGTATTTAAATAAACATTCCAGCTTTGTTATTTCTTATATTAGGTTCTTTTTTTCAATATTAAGCTTAACCTTTATGATAACTAATGTGTGGCTTGGAAATGTTTCCATAAGGCCATTTCCTTATTTAAATACGCCACTATGAAGAAATAGTTGAATCAGTTTTTACAACCAGATGTCTTTCATGGCATTAACCTGTTATGATGATCAGGACTAAGTATTTTTAATGTGATACACTAGGTATATTATCATACAAGGTTTGCAAGTTCCTCCAACTTTTCCCCACAAATAAATCAAGAGGTTTTATATCATAGCTTTCTTTGTCCTAGAAAAGTTGTCTTTGCCACAGTTAAAGAGCTTTACCTGCCATAATCAAGTATCAGTTTAACTTCATTACCAGAACAAGAATTGGTTCATATATATTAAATATTATCTTGCTTTCATTCAATCACTAACAATATGATAAAATTTGAAAAAGTAGTTTTTACAAAAATGGGCAGAATTTTTAAATCATCATAAATAGAGACAATTTAAACTTAGATTAAGGTTTATTACTCTGTTAATTTGAAACTAATGACAAATTCTCTTAAATTATTTCAATCGAAAAAGATAATTTTCTCAAAAAAAGGAACACATGATAAAAGTGAATAAGAATGATTATTATGAATATGAATAAGGACTTTTTTATGATGTCACTACATAATGTAACCAATATAAACCTCATCTTTTTTCTAACATAAATTAAACCTAAAATATAATAGCACTGTTATTTTTACCTTTTTTATTATGACTGATAATAATTATTAATTTAATACTGATTACGATTTTATAAAAACAAATTAAAAATCTAAGGAGAGCTCTTAAATTCGGTGTTATATCTTGGACATCTTTTTAACACACATTTAAGATTAATTTTCTTTTAAATTAAATTTTAAATAACTACAAGCAATCTCTCACAGTAAATGACAATACAGTTACAGTTGCAGACAACGTCTTATAGTCTTACAGTTAATAACAACCAATAGAGTAACGTTTTTACTGTCAATTGAAAACAACGTTTAAAATGCCAGCTCAATCTAGTTAGTGTGTAATATAGTTGTATTTATTCATATTATATAATATAAACTATTGGTGCCACCAGTTAGTGCTAGTGAATATTTTAATATTGTTGTATTTCTATTACAACAAAATAATAAACTTAAATGATGTACTCTTTTTTTTTTGCAGTTGAAACCAATAAATGTTTCTTTCAGAAATTAATGGCAGTGAAGTGGTAACCTACAGTTGCAGCTCAAAATAAGTAGGTTTGAAACTGTCTTTGTGTTGATTGTGTTCTTTCTTTTAATATTTTCTTTACTTGATAAAATTAGTAAACTTATATTATATTATAAATTATAAAGCTATTTACGCAGTTATAATAGATCAAAGTATCAAACTTTTTCAAAGTTAAATTACAAGTAATTTGCCTTTCATTTTTGTTTTACAGTTCTACTTATAGAGCAATACGAGATATAGATACAAAGACGTGGTATTAAAAAATGCTACAGTTAAAAAAAATCGTTTTACGATTTTTTTGAGGTAATTATGAGCCTAAGGCTGATGATAAATAGTACATCTGGCTCCGTATATATGTATACACACAAACACACACAAGCTATTTACAAATCGATATTTCTATATTTAGGGTAAACTTTAAGCAAAGAGTGCGAGGAACTGTTAAACTGTTATGAACATATCATGCACTATACCATATCATGCACTACACGTGGCGCTCAGTTTACTCGACGATCCAATTTAACAGGATATTATCCATTTTTCTTATTTGTTATTTATATATTTAGGACGCATTTAAACTAAAGACTATGAAGAGCTGTAAAACTGCTATTGGCAACAGTTGATAATACTAGGCGCATGTATTAGTACGTAATTTGAATCTCTGGTTGGAATTCTTTTAAATGCTTTTATGCTTTTTACCCATAGTTGCTGTGGAAAAGCTCAATACCAAAGATTTAATAAAGGCAGAGTTAGGCAGGGTCGAAGGATATTTTTCGAACTAATAATCCATTGTAGTGAAAAACGAACTAGTTCAATCTTTCAAAACAAAAAAGTTTTTTAGATCATAATCAGCTTTGAAGTAAAAAAGTAAACATGCCCAGTGGGCACAATACGCGTTTTAAACGTCTAAATCACGTATTAAAACGTTTTAATACATATTCTAGACGTTTAAAACACGTCTTGTGCCCATTGGGTGATTTGAAGTAAATTTCCATTTGTTTTATTTTTTTCAAGAAAAAAAATTTGAAACTAAATCTGTAGTTTTTTTTTTTTTTTTAAAGCAACATTTAATTTTTCTTGCCGCCATTTGTGCTATAAATTGCTGACAACGCTATTTTATTACATAAATATGTAACTCTAAACTTTTAAAATTCAATTAACACCATTACGTCCAACGATATTGCGCAGCGAAGAGAGTTAGGTGCAGATTTTTCAAGTAAAATCATTCCTAGACAATGAAGCACATTTTTACATAGCTTTTAAATATTGATCGTCAAAATTTCAGTCGTTGAAGTTGTAGAACCCACAAAAAACAAATGCATTTTTAAGTGAATACTATTTGGCGCGCATTAACTTGACTGCATAATAAGTTAAAAATGCGTTATCTTCTTGTACCTTAAAAAATTTAAAAAGATATAAACTATTTTACAAATTTTAGGGAGGATAACTAAATGGTTTATCTCCTATGGAATTACAGTATCGGACAAAAAAATAATAATAATGTTGACCATGCTGTATTTCGCTATCAATACTTCTTAGCGAATCCTTTGTTGTCGATCACTGCCTTGCATTTTCGAGGCATAGATTCGATCAGGTGATCAATGAAACTTTGTGGAATCGCTGCCTAGGCTTTTTAGATTTGTTCAAACAGTTGATCCTTAATACGAACACCTTCACAAGTAATTCTGCGGTTGACAATCTCCCACAGCTTCTCGATAAGGTTGAGATCCGGAGATTGAGGCGGCTAATCCATCACCGATAGATGATTGTCTTGAAACTACTGCTTGACAACTTTTGCAGTATGTTTCGGATCGTTGTCTTGCTGAAAAACCCATTTTATTGGCATATTCCATTCAGCATGAGGTAACATAACATCTTTCAGGATATTTTTATACATGAAACGGTCCATTATTCCATAGACTCGATGTATTGGACCTAGACCGTTAGCAGAAAAACACCCCCAGAATATTGCATCGCATCCACCATGCTTGACAGTCTTATGACAGTTACGTAAATCGAGGCGTTTTCCGGCCGGTCGACGTACACGGCAAATGCCATTGCTCCCGATGATGTTGAACTTCGATTCATCACTGAACAGAATAGTTCGCCATTTCTGCACATTCCAGTCAATATGAGATGTAGCAAACAGGAGCCTTTCTTCTGATAAGTGAAATCAGCGGTTTTTTTGCAGGGCGTCGAGAAAACAGTTCGGCTTTAACAGCACGTCGTCTGAATGTTTGGTCCAATACAAGCAGCTTTAATTGCTTTTGTATCTCGACTTATAAGATCCAGGGATCCTTCTTAACGGATCTGAAGATCATAGAATCCTCTCTAGAAGTGGTGGAACGCGGTCTTCCACCTTTGTTATCTGCTGCCAACTTCCCCGTAGAACGATATTTAGAACATAGCCTTGATACGGTTCACTTTTTCACGCGATATTTATCACAAATACTTTTTTGTGACATTCCACTTACGTAAATGCAAATAATTTTTTTTCGTAGTTCCAATCCAAGACTGTCGGGAGCCATATTTGCACTTGAAGTCATAAAAATAATAAGAATAAATAATCACGCTTCTTAAGGCTTGCCGTAACACATTTACCTTGTGATTATACAATAATGCTCTGTGGAACACAACGTCTTGGTTGGATGAGGACTGTATTGATGTAACGAAACACTTGTTGTATTTCACTTCTTGTATTGATGTTTTTTGATAAAACACTTTGATAAAACTCACTTCGATAAACTGTCTTGATAATACTGACTGATTGACTTCCATATACTGACTGAATTACATGTTGGTTTACATGTTTCTTACATAGTAAAATGAACCTGTGTAAACCTGTTCTGGAAGATTCTAGATGCTTCTTTTTGATGCTTCTGGAAGCTTCTGGATGCGTCTGGATGCTTTTGAATGTTTCTGGATACTTCTGGATGCTTCCAGATGTTTCTTCTGGAAACTTCTGGAAGCTTCTGCATGCTTATGGAAACTTCTGGAAACTTCTGGATACTTCCTTTAATTATTAAAAAACTTCCGTGACGTTGACACGGACCAGACTTAAAAAAATGAAACAAACTAAAAAAGTTGCACTTGTTTTGTCCGCTGCAAAATGGCACTTGTCAACGAAATTCTGCCTGTGTGCTGTCACCTGTCAGCTGATTACTCATGTCATGGCACGCTATGACTCCAGACTCCTGAACTGTTTACTGTGGTAGTATAGTTCGTTCCGTTTTTAAGACATGTAAAATTAGTAACACCTTTTTAGAATTGTTCGATGTTGGTTGCAAATGTTTTGTCCAATACTGTATATCCTTTCAAGAGTTTAAAAAAGCATTTAATCAGCAAAAGCTCATTTGGTATAACGGTATTACTAGTGACGTAGCACTAAGTTGTATATCTTAAATTGAATTTAAAAATTGTTTTTGAAAAACATTTAGTTTGAAATGTGACCATGTTTGTTTACCTTTTGTGCTTTGACTATTGATTGTGTGCAGTATGTGGTTTTAGCGTAAAATGTTTTATAAGTTTAGGCAATAAAAGAGAATAAAAATTTAGCTAAAATTAACAAAATCATAATTTGTACCAATAAGAGCATTAAATATTAAATCCTAGCGGGCATGTTGTCCAAAAAAGACTTCTTTTAATAGTTCAAAGACTTCTTTTTGAATCAAACAACCACTCGGACCTGAGACGTCCACATGATTATTTTAACTTTGGAACACAATACGTGAAAATAAAATTTTCACCTATTGTGTTCCAAACTTAAGTATGTCTATTCCTATGTCAAATAAGAAGACCTTGCAATTAATTATAATGATGGAAGCCGGGGAAAAAAAATATTCAATAAACTTTGGCCCCCCAATCCAAACGAACTTAACAATAGATTTTGAAAAACTACACTTTAATGTTTTCAAATCGGCAAATGTGTTACTTAATGACTTTTCTGACGCTGATTTGCATTTTTTTAACGAAAAGAATTTTAGCTCATCCTTCTTTGAAATAAAAACTTTTAAAAACGAACTAAAAACCTTAAAGAGTAATTTTACGGTAATACACATTAACATTAGAAGTATTAATAACAACATGGACAAGCTAAAATATTTTCTTATTGAATGCGATTATCTATTCAGTATGATATGCAAACGTGGTGTTCTGACGAATCATGCAGAATAAACTCAAGTTTAGAAATTCCTAAGTACAAGTTATTATCGTTTGAAAGGAAAACTAACAAAAGGGGAGGGGGAATTATAACTTATATTAGGAACGATCAAATTACTAAAATAAGAGAAGACCTTTCGACCTCAGATGCCGATAGTGAGGTCTTTAACTAGTAACAAATCAAAAAACATACTGGTCTCCACATGTTACCGACCGCCTGAAGGTGATTTATTAAAATTTTCCAATCATTTAAAACAAATTTTTATAAAAAACAACAATGAGCAAAAAAAAAATTCTGTATTGGTGATATAAACATAGGTTGTTTACAATATGAAAAAAATGCCAATATTAAACTTTTTTTTTGACAAAATGCTTCAATATTACATCTTCCCAATTATTAATAAACCAACCCGAGTAACTCCAACTTCAATCTCTGCAATAGACAATATATTAACTAATTCAATCTTTGATACTTCTCTAAAGGTAGGAATAATAAAGACAGATATTTCTGATCATTTTCCTTTTTTCTTCTTTTTGACAAAAGATATAAAATCTATAAATAGTTGTAAAATAAAAATTTATAAAAGGAAAATCAACAAATTTGCTATTCAACAATTTAAAGACTCACTACCGGCAGAACTATGGGACAAGGTATACCAAGAATGCAACCTTGGGAACACAAACTCTGCTTATAATAACTTTGAAAAAATTTTCCTAAAAAACTATAATATGCATTTCCCAATTAAAGAAAAATTAATAAAAGAAAAATATTTAAAATGTCCTTGGATCACCGAAGGTATTAAAAAATCCTCCAAAAAAAACAAAAACTTTATATCAAATACTTAAAAAATAGAAGTGAGGCAAACCTAAATGTTTACAAACAGTATAAAAACTTATTTGAAAAAATTTAAAAAAATTCGAAGAAAAACTTTTACTCAAATAAAAAAAAAACTCAAATGGTAATATTAAAAAAACTTGGGATATCATAAAAGAAATAATTGGGACTAAACACTGCAAATCAAATAGTTTACCTGCACAAATTGTCATAGATAATAATGAGTATAACGATTGTAATGTAATTTCAGAAAAATTTAACAGTTTTTTTGTCAACATAGGCCCAAATCTTGCTTCAAAAATCCACTGTCCAAACAACTCATTTGAAACTTACTTAACTAGTGTCAACAGCGAACTAATATTTAAAGAACTAAAAATTGATGAACTCGAAAATGCAATAAACTCTATTAAAATAAACAAGTCTCCAGGTGTAGATGACATTAGCAGTAATATTGTTGCTAATGTCTCTTCGCAGATAGACAAACCTATTTTTGAAATATTCAAATCATCAATTAAAACTGGAACTGTACCAGATAAATTAAAAGTAGCTAAAATTATACCTATTTTTAAAACCGGTGAAACATTTCAAATAAATAATTACAGACCAATTTCTATTCTTCCAATTTTTTCTAAAATACTTGAACGAATAATCTACAATAGACTATATGAATATCTAACTCAAAACAAACTCTTAGATAAAAATCAATTCGGTTTTCAATCACAACACTCGACAGAACATGCAATTTTAGATATAGTTAATAGCATAAGTGATTCTTTTGATAAAAAGCAATTTGTATTAGGAACTTTTATAGACCTATCCAAAGCATTTGACACAATTAATCATGATATCCTACTTTAAAAAATGGAAAAATACGGAATAAAAAATACTACCCTAGATTGGTTTAAAAGTTATTTATGCAACAGACAACAATGCGTTATTTCGAATGATAATAAATATTCAAATTTACTAGAAATTAAATGCGGAATTCCCCAAGGTTCCATTCTTGGCCCTCTTTTATTTTTAACTTATATTGACGATCTT